AATGATCTTTATCTTCCTACATAAGGGAGAAGTCATTGGAAGATTATTGTCCCTCGAAAATGGCCGCTGGATTAATTCTACCACTTTTAGTTTAAGTGTGTAAGATAACTGGAACGTAATTGGAAGACAGCCAATAGGAACAATACAGGTATTTTGCCTTTTCAAACTGACCTATCAAATCTAACAGAAGCTCGTGTTTAGACTTGAACTGAGTCCAAGAGCCAAGAGATTGAAGTCAAGTAGGTAAATGCTATTGAAGACGAAGTTTTACTCAACCTATATGTATATTAGATCTAGTAAACTTGTAACAGTTTTTTGAACTTTCACAGTCCAAATCATGAATATGGTTCATGATACTTCTTAATGGTAAGTTTAAAAAACATTGATGTCGGCGATAAATTGATTTTTTGTGATACGCCGTCAAACAATCAGACCTATTTTCTGATGGTAAGCAGTAGGCTCCGCCCATTGAGAGGGCGGCAGGAGGTTTATTAAGCCTCCGGTAACCTCACTGACACGGCGAAACACAACACTGTTTTGTTAATGTTCTAGAGAATGTCTTTGTGCAGTTTCTAGATTAAGCTTCATTTGCATCCTATATCTATAGTTCACAGATGCGATTGGAGTACCTATTTACACACAAATTTAATACCTAATAGTGCATAGTTTATTTGTACGAGTCCACTTTGGCCGAATGGTCCAGAAATAATATTTGGCACACAAATATATTGCGTAGTAAATTGTAAATTTGTAATGGGTGTACCTACTTTGCTTTTCTGGCTTGAAGAGGTCATTTTATTCAAATTAAATAATAATTTATAAAATGTAGTTCTGCATGTAGTTTACAGAAAAAATATTTGAATTTTAATAATAGAATAAGACATTCTGTCGCCCGCGTTTCTCACGGGCTTTACATTTTTTTTTATAAATATTTCACGACCAAGGCTCAATGTGGAAATACCTAATAAAAAGATTTTTGAACTTTTTAGTTATAATTCCGTTGTACCTACATCATTATTGTACAGGAAATAAAAATTAAAATAAATATCGCGCAAGAATGAACAGAATTTATTTCGGAGATTTTACAGTTTGATGTTGTTTGTCTCATAAGCAACATATATTATTTTTTTTGTATTGATATTAATATTTAAAATGTAAATGAGTATTTTAAATGTATCATTTCCATCATCATCATTTGTATCATTTCGTTTGTTCATAAGTCGAAACATGTGATTCACTTGGCGCATCTGCAAGTATTTAATGTGAGAAAAATAACAACCATTTGTTGGACCTAAAAATATAACAAATCGAATGTTCAATATCGTCATCCGTTGCCAGTTTTTTAAGATTCTTAGCATTCATTCTGTAGATAAAATAGTCATTTAAAGATAAAAATAGGGTACTAAAAATGAAACAAATTTAGGAAAGTATTCAAACCTCTTTAGTTCTTTAACAATAACTGTCATGTAACTGTCATGTCAAAGAAACAATTTGAAAAAAATAAACAAAGAAATATTCATATTAATTAATTACCATAGTATTTTCGATTCAATAATTTTTTAAATGTGTCGCAAGAATTCTATGAGGAAAAACTATTAATTACAAGACCGATATAAAAAGAGTTATTGAATGGCAAGTCGTTGTTTATAAAAGGGGTCAAGTTTAATTGGTTTCTGTAACGTCAAGTGTGACATTTAGGTTGGCACGCGCTAGCCAGGTGCATTTCATAGCAATTAGTGTTGTCCGTTAGCGGAAATAAAAGTTTTAGTCGAGTTATGTATCATTAACTATTTTTATTACGTTTTTATTTTAATTTACATAAATTTTATTGTTTAAGAAAATTTTAAGGTATTTAATTGTTATTAATAAAATAGGTTGGATTTAGTTAGAAGTATTGCTTTGATAGTTTAGAATAGCTTCGTGACTAGATATTTACAAGTAACTCTGCCAAACCATTCAGGAAAGAACCATGATTTAATAGAAGTAAAGTATCGTACATAGGTCATGTAAGTACCTACCTAGACTTTTTGTAGAAGCAGTAGGTAGTTTTGCAAAGTCGTTTGGTTTTGAGTACCTACTTGTTTTTATTATTTATTTATGTTTCAAACATCTGATTAAATATAATTACCAAGTTTACTTTGCCATCTACATTAGTATTTCTTTAGTAAGACCATAACGACTTAATACGAAATCATATCTATACTACTTAATATTATAAAGAGGTAAAATTTGTAAGTTTGTATGTAGGGGGTAATCTTTGGAACCGCTGGTCGGATGTCCAAAATTTCTTTCACTGATAGACAGCTACATTGTTCCTGTGCTATAGACTATAAAAAATCACGCTACGATCAAATGGTGCCGAGCAGCGGGTGAAACCGCGCGAGAGTAGCTGGTTTTCAATATAAATACAAACATAATATTTAAATTATTTTTATCAGTTTATTCTTAAAATAAATAAATCCCAACGCATTACTTATACCGAAACAGTAACAAAAATGCACCCGAATTTTATTATCAGAGTCATTCAGGACTTAATAGTATGAATTAATTTAATTCAATTAAGGAAATTAAAATTTAACAGCACATACATATTTGCATCGGCGAGGCGGTCGTTGCACGATTGACCTCCAATTAACTTTACATAAAAAGATTTTATCATTAACTTTATCGATACAAAGTTAATCAACTTTCAAAGATATTATAAATGTGGAACAATTTTGTAAATAAGTATCTCTATTACATTATTCTGCCCTGACACTTACTATATCGATTAGTCGATTCCCCTACACGTTCAATTATAATCGATATTATTTTTCAACTTTCTGCAATAATCGATCTTTAAGAGATTTTCATCTTGAAGCCAAAGGATATTAATGTTATATGTACCTACATGTATGTAATTACAAGCTTATAAATATTATCATTCTTATTAACTAACAGAAAAATACGAAACATAAAAAAATAATGCAATATATTACGATTTTTATTGAGTAAGGGCATTTTATATGAGATCTCTTTATGGGAATTATGTCAAAAAGCAGACTCGAGTATAAACAAGGTCCAAGACCACATGTGGCCTAAAAAAGACCGTAAATGCACAACATATGGGTCGATTTTATAGTTGTTGATAAAAAACGTCAATTGCGCATTAAAAGATCAAAAGGACATACACACAGACAATGTAAAACCTTGAGAATTGAAGTTACGTTATGCTTGTACAAGTAACCATTGCAATATGAACCTAAAGATCTGTATCAGGACTATCAGGCATTTCAATTAAATGCTAATGTGAAGTTGGGTACTTACGTTCAGAAATGAAAATAATTGGTCGACCAATACCAGATTGCTTTTACGTTTTTGTTAAAGTAATTGGTATCCTATCCTTATTAGATATCTGTATATGGCTAAAAATATTGAGTTGGATTGTGTTAAGTTTTGATATGTAATCTAAATACCGAATGGTATCGAAGTGATTTTAATGAGTTTCGGGTCTCTCCACCAAACAGTATTCGATGAAAAGGATTGTAGACAAAATACTTATACAAATTGTAAAAGGTACCTAGAAAGTAGTCCAATAAATTTTTGAAGAAAATTTTACCGCATATGATTATAGAATCTACAGAAGAAAAATTTATTGTCAATCCAAAGTTACGGCAAGACTGACTAAAAGTCAACATCTCAATCACTTAGCAGCAATCACAAAATAGATTTCGAACTACCAAAAATTTATGAAGCACGACCCCGATTATCCTACTGCCCTACAAATAATTTGATTAGTATGTAGCCAAACGAAATAGGCCGGTAACAATGGCCGCATCTACAACAAGTATGCTCAATTTTATGGTCAGTGACCATTTAAAATATGACATAGAAGAACACGAAACAATGCCTAATGATGACACGTGCGCTGACGTAGATCTAAAACGATAAGATCTCGAAATGGACACAAGTAATATGAAAGCTACTAAGGAAAATATAATTGCTAATAAAACATAAGAAGCAATTCCTTATATCTTTGGTATTATTTACTTATTTCGTATAATTATAACTTTGCAGATGGATTTTACATGGACGTCATTAATTACTTCATAATTGTTTTGTGACGTAGTTAATCTGTGAGTATTTGGTCTTCCATGTTTTAATTTCTGCTTATTGTTTCAGGATTGGATACTAAGCTATTTAAAGTTTGATCATTATCCTTTTTTTGTTTGGTTTCTCAGTATTAGTTTCTTTTATTCCAAAAAGGATGTTACTCTAAGATTCTTGCAAGCATTTTAGTCGCTGCTTCATTCATTTAAACTTCTCATTTTTGCATGTTAAAGTTGTGTTAAAGTAACATAATTCCAATACTAATAATGTAATGTAATGTTATGTTATTCACGTAAAGTATTGTCACACCAACTTATTCCATAATTACTAACAATAGCAGTAATTTTACGGAAGAATAATCTGTAAGTACTTATACCACGAATTAAAGTTACGTACTATTGCAAAATATGTTCGTGTCATGAATAATTCAATCTGAATTGTTTTCTAATCACGTTGCTACTGATTCTTAGTCAGGTAAATAGCTGATTTTCTGACTTAAAATCAGTTTTAAAAGTGCACAAATTAAAAGTTAAAACTGTTGCAAAAATCAATGCACGGGCTTGGTCATTGAAGCCATTATTGGCGATGTAATGAAGGCTTCTGGTTGTTAATTACTGTGCAAAAGGTGTTATTTGAAAAGCGAAAGAAATTTAACTACGGTAAAATGAGCTGGTTTTTCTGGTAACGTGAAATGAACATTTCGAATTTCGTTTGTTTCAGTAGTTTCATTAATTGAATTGATTGTAAGTAAAGAAACGTTACTTGATTTGATAACCATAGTAATAAAATATTAATTTAAGAATAAGAAAAAAATACCAACGCACTTGTACAAACAGAACATTAAAAATATATTATTTCGAATAGGAACTTAAAAATTAAATTAAAAAATGAAGTCATACGCTACCACTCACCGGATTTCCTTTTTTCGTTCACTAGAACCAACGATTTCGTCCTCTTCACTCTCAAAGATCGTCGCCTTATGGATCGCATGAGTGCCTCAGGCATTCTTGAAAACCTGGGAGAGTCCACTCTCTTTTCAGGCATAAAAAAATTCTTGACCGCCAACATAGTTAACTATTCACACTTCCCACACGATTTACCGAATAAATAAATCGATTACACGAATCCCATCTCTATTTCAATTACTTCACTTATCACGATCAATGTTGTTCGAATTATAAACACAAAAAACTGAGACTAATCCATTTTAGTCGATTTTCAAGGTCAGGAAATTCACATCAATTAGTAAGTTGTGGGTGGCACTAATTGAACAATCCTTTTTAGTAAAAATGTCACTATTGTTTGTTCTCATCACTATTCTGTACGAAGAGCATCCTGTTTGCCCGTTCGGTCGTCGTAATAATTGTAGGGGACGCGCGATACGTCCTCTCTTTGACGAAGCGCGCCGCGTACTGGCGTCAAAGTAGCTATGTGTAGTAGAGGGGATTGCCTTGCGGGTTGCGAATGTTATCTATCTTCTTATCAGAATTTACCTAGTCTTCATAGGTACAATAAGGTCGTAAAATTTACTGTGAGTTGATAACCGGTAACAAGGTCGTGTACTGGATGAATGAAATAGCTATTTATATGCTGTGCGGCGACTTATACAATTTCGATTGAGGCCGGTAATTTTCGCACCTTCCACCGATACTATAATGAATTCAATTTGTATTGCTAGATCTACTGAAGTATCTGAACACGCCGTGTACTATTGTATAGTATGTAACATGTATGCAGTCGCAATTTGAAAGATAGAGAAGACCTCCGATAAAAATGTTGTGACTCTCATAAAACTTGACATCGGTGCCCATCATAATCCATGACTTAAAGTGGAATTTAAAAAGGCACTCACATATAACATGAACATTTTAATATCGAGCCAGTTCCAAATGGCAAACCAGGAGTAAAGGTAGAAGTCAAAACAAAATCCGGACACGAAATTGTAACCCGACGTTAAATTTTGAACACAACAGACATGCTTACCACTTGAAAGACTGTAAATAAGGAGGAGGTCAAATGAAAAACGGAAATAAGATAATCGATTTAAATATCCATATCCGATGATCGACCGGCAGTAAACAAACCAAACTCGTTCCTTGAATATCGATATGAATCACACACCTGTATACATTATCCTCAATCTAGTTTCCTTTCGGGGTGGCCAGAGAGTGCCGAACACCATATACAAGTACTTCCTGTGTCACTTGTCTCCATATGAGGAATCGATGTATTACTCACGATTTTATTCTTAGCTTAACCATTGCACAGCCTTAAGGAGAAGATAATCAATACATAAATCAAGATCAGGCAATGGTTTCCATATTCGTACTTTCACAGAAGTTTCTGAACTAGTAACTGCAATAAAATTAAACAAAAAATATATCATATTATCATACTTGTGTAATACCAAAGTTGGAGTGTAAATTTGCAGCTCTAAAATCTTTATTATCGTTAAATAAAACAAATACGAAGATATTTGAGAAAAAAAAATGCGCAGTTACAACATGTTTGGTTTCCTAAGGCTTAGGTAGGCTTAGCATTACTGTTTACCCATAAGGCTCAACTGAGTTAATTGAATGATAAAAGCCGTGCAAGATATGTAATACCTATAAAGAAACTAGAGAAGCTACAGGTAAAAGCAAACACGAATTTCGATTGTGGAATTTTACGATATGGACATATGTGGAGTATAAGGGATAAGTATAGTTATTAGGAAACACTTTATTCTTAAGTATTTTCTCAAATATTCAGAAGACCGCGCCCGTGGATTATATTAGCTGGGATTGCCGGTCAAGTGCTATTGCACCACTGCCTCGGCCTGGATCAGGAGAAGAAACGTGGTGACTTTAAGTTACTAAGAGTCTGATATTCCCTCTTGCCGCACCCAGAGCGTCTCTCGCTCTCGAGTAATTTGATGTTTTCCCCACAACAAAAGTAATGTATGGAGAAATTTCAGAAACAACGAAAAATGAACATTTCCACATCAACACGTATTTTATCCAATTACTTTGAATTTAATGGTAATTCAAGCATAATTTGAGGAGATAATTTCAACGCCGAGTTCAACAAGGAATATTGGCCGACTGGTGCTGATACCTTATACCTTGAAACAGGAATGAGCACTCATAATTTCTCTCATTCAGGCCAATTTGGCAGTTTTTAAACACCTACGCTAACAGCTCTTAGGCCCGCCTTATTGACACTGTGGGGTTTTGAGTTAGCCATTTGAGTTATCCCCGAAAATATTTGTGATCTGAAACTGTACAATTTCCAGCTGCTTTTCAATATACTGCTCTGCAATTATTTCTAGATCTCGTATTTCCTCTTTATCTTAAAAGTAAACAGGATGATCTATGCTGAATACTATTTCAAACTTAGCTGGTGATTCAGGGTCAGCCATTGTCCCCACTACTCCATTGGACGTAACATTAAAACCCAAATTTCCGTCAGCCCGTTAAATTAAAATATGCACACAAGTGGTACAAATTGGCCTACATTCATCATCATTAGGTATAAAGCGGGCATTCCATTCATTTAACATTAATGCCGCGCCTAGATCGAACCCACTCCCTCCATTGTAGTTTCTGTACTAATTAATTTATTGGTGCTTTGTAGTTTTAGTCGTGACGAGATTTATGCTAGTTTTATGATCTGCATTTTTCCTATTGTATTCTGTACTGTATTCATGCATAAATACATATATTTTAGCGAAGGAAATTGAGTAGACAAATGTTTGTCCCAAATGTAGTCGAGAATTCGCAAATATCCAAACAACGCTAAAGTCTTGGCTTTCAAGATTAATCCTCTAAAATTTAAACTGTAATGGCGACATTAACATGTTGGCAGCTCGGCGTTTCCAAGATATATTCGGTACCCGGTTTTATCCTGAGATCATGCTTAAGATCATATTCCGTGAATTTCTCCAGTGGATGACTTGAATTGTGTTTGACTTGACTTAATATTACGAACGAGACATGTTAATTCCTTTAAAATAATACGTGTACACGCTGCTTCCATAAAAATATAATACAATAGTTTCTGAAGTATTTACCTTAACTATTCCTGCAACAAATATTTAACTATAAAAACCTGTAGCGTTGGAGTAAAACATCTGCATATTTGCTGCTTCAAGCTGATAACCAAACTGGTTTCTACAAGTTATTTCTACTTTAACAATGAACAAACAGAGCTCTGTCTAATTAAAACATAAAATAATTACAATAGATATGAAAAATAAAAATGAAGAAATCAACGCTATTACTGAGCATAATACGCTATACAATGATAGAGATTTATTTGTTCTTCTAGCGAAAAATCAAGCAATTAACATTCACGGTTTAGTTCATAACAAACGAACTTAAGCGCTACATCGCTTTAGTTACGAAATTCCACTGAGAATCGTGCAATTTCTTATCGCAGCATCGTAGTTGCACGTTGCGGTTCACGTTTTGCATCAACGACCAAAGCAACCTGACCTTCCAACCTCTCTTTTGTTTTCTTAAAATGGATCCAAGCACGAAGGGACTGTGTCTGCAGAGATGTCTAGCTAAATTGGACAGTGTCGTGATTCAGCTTTGTATTTTCTAACAGAGATTTATTTTTAGTGTGATGTTTAAAGGGAAATATTCAGTGGAGATTTTATTTGAACATTTATCAGAAGACAGAATTGTGTAGTATAACATGAGATTGTAAGTGTTAAAAATATTGTAAAATTAACTTGAGGAATGTTGTAAATCATTACTGCAATATAGATGATAGTACAAAAGGACCAACATTGACTTGGCAACCAGTTTGCAATCTTAAGATAAAAACTAACTTATCTAGATAATTATCATTAACCTGCACAGACTGAAATGGGAGCAGTAAATTATTTCTATATCCAGTCAACTTGATTGTGTGTGCATAATAGTGGTTCAGGCTAGGCTTGGGGCTTAGGGCTTTATTTAAAAAAAAAATGTTTTTTAGACAGCAGCAATTTTAGTTGTTGATCTTACGAAGCATCATAATAGATACAGCAGTTTAACCAATTTATGAATGTTCGAAATAATTTATTATTTATTCACTGAATTCAAACAGTCTTAAGTGATTTAAAATAAATGTTACTAATGACCTATGTCAAAGAGCCTATTTATGTCGAACCATTTTATTAATAAACAAAGACATTTTTCCTTTTGCAGGTTGCATTTACCAACATGACGAACAAATCATTCTTTATTGGCGTTTCAAATGTTTTTTCCTGTTTTCGAAACATTGAAAGCCTGTTAAGGTAGGAAAGTCATCAATCAATTATATAGTAAGTATCAGAATCGTCTTTTAGCTTCACTGTAGTCGGGTAAAATTAAGTACTGTGTCAAAGCCTGACATATTTCAGAGCTAAAAATAACTAGTATAATAACATCTCCCATAGGAACAGAAGCGATGGAGCTGTACGTCAAACCTGTCCGTTTAATTGTAGGCTCAATTAATTCAGGTCGTTTTGGGAATGCTGTTCTCGCCCACGACAAAGCAGGATCGGGAATAGAACCGGTTGAATCCTCAACGAGATAGAAGCTTCCTTTAATAATTTGTCTGCCTGATAAGCCGTGGCAGGTGAAGTAGGACTAAAGATTGTGTTCTTTGGCTGGAGATTACTAGCTTTCTGAATATGACGTGCTTTTATTTTAGAAAAACTCGAAATGAAATTATTAAGGGCTAACAAAAAGGCTGCTAATTCAACTTTTGTGGTTTTAAGTGGCAATTAAAAGATAGACATTTTTTGCCCGTTTAATAATCAATCTCAAGGGAATAAAATTTCACGGTTATTTGGCTAAACTCATGATATAAGTCAAGTGTCACTGGATAGTGCCATCTAGGGACCATTTATTTTAGGTCAAAAAGGAATGAGAACCGAGTTACACCAAAAAGGCAAAAACAAATTAATTCCAACTACGTACAAAGTATAAATAACCTAAATCCAATTAAAAGCTACTAGAAAAGGGATGCCTAGCAACAAGCAAATTATACAGCTATTAACAAGATAGTCAACAGAAAACTTCATAATAAAATGGAAAACAAAACCAGAGCTCGCAGCTCTGAAGATCTAGTTAACATTTCAAACAAAAACAACTAAATGCCAACCCTCATTAAGCGAACTAAAACTGACTTCGAAATTAAAGGTAAACTGCTTTCAAAACAAACAAAGGCTAGGAAACAATTAATCTGGGCGAAAATAGAGGGTCTCCTGTTTATAAAATTTAAGCCTGATCGCCTTTTATTCTGTGCATCTAAGTATAGTAAGTATGAAGTTTGGAGTTGAGAATACTGTACTATGAAACTAATGGCACCTAAGACCTAAGACTGAGAGTAGACTACTCAATAGTATTCGGAAACAGTTTACGCAGTGTCATTCCTATTTTTTATAGCAAATGAGTTGACGGATCACTTGATGGTAAGCATTC